CTACAGACCCACAACCGTGACAGACCCACAACTACAGACCCACAACCGTGACAGACCCACAACTACAGACCCACAACTACAGACCCACAACTACAGACCCACAACCGTGGCAGACCCACAACTACAGACCCACAACCGTGACAGACCCACAACTACAGACCCACAACTGCAGACCCACAACCGTGACAGACCCACAACTACAGACCCACAACCGTGACAGACCCACAACTACAGACCCACAACCGTGACAGACCCACAACTACAGACCCACAACCATGACAGACCCACAACTACAGACCCACGACTACAGACCCACAACTACAGACCCACAACCATGACAGACCCACAACTACAGACCCACAACTGCAGACCCACAACCGTGACAGACCCACAACTACAGACCCACAACCGTGACAGACCCACAACTACAGACCCACAACCGTGACAGACCCACAACTACAGACCCACAACTACAGACCCACAACCATGACAGACCCACAACTACAGACCCACGACTACAGACCCACAACTACAGACCCACAACCATGACAGACCCACAACTACAGACCCACAACCATGACAGACCCACAACTACAGACCCACAACCGTGACAGACCCACAACTACAGACCCACAACTACAGACCCACAACCGTGACAGACCCACAACTACAGACCCACAACCGTGACAGACCCACAACTACAGACCCACAACCGTGACAGACCCACAACTACAGACCCACAACCATGACAGACCCACAACTACAGACCCACGACTACAGACCCACAACTACAGACCCACAACTACAGACCCACAACCGTGACAGACCCACAACTACAGACCCACAACTACAGACCCAAAACCGTGGCAGACCCACAACCATGACAGACCCACGACTACAGACCCACAACCATGACAGACCCACAACTACAGACCCACAACCGTGACAGACCCACAACTACAGACCCACAGCCCTCTTTCTAACGGCTGTTCCTCGTTTGTTTTTGTTCCCAGAAATGTAATTTAATGAACAGGTTCATAATTAAACGAATGTCCACAGACACATTATTAATCTAGACTTTATTAATTTTTCATTTTCACTCATTATTTTATGTTTTTTCTGCCGAACTTTAATATTTCAGGTTTATTCTACTAAAATATGAACGTTTATGAACATCACAGTTATTGACCTCCTTTTATTCTCTTTATTCCTCTGCGATGATTTTGACCTCCTGATGAATCTGATATTTTTCGGTGTTTTTCTCGTATATTTTCACGTCCGATCTCATGCACATTATTAGTCATCGCACTTCTGTTTCTTTCACTACAATGCTAGTAACCTACGGGTCAAATCGTACATTTCCGACTTCCGACAAACTAATGTTAGCATTAACTTGACCGAGATTCGATGTTCATTTCAGACGATCATGGAAAATGTCATAAACGGAGCTGATCATTGACATTTATTTCAAACTCAAGACAACAGTTTTATTGATGATTAAAAAATGATGTGATTCATGTTTGATACTCGATCTTGACGTCGCTCCGCTCGAACCGATAACTCTGGAAAAAGGAACAGCGGTTAAAAAGAGGGGTGTGGATCTGCTGGACTCTCCGACTCTGCAGACACCCCCTCCTCTCCAAAACCAAAATGACGAGAAAGAGACGCTCGCTCTGATTGGATAGAAGGGTCGAACGTTTTGGCAAATATGAGCGACTAAAGGTCTGACGTGACTCTTCCTGCGGTCAATAAAACACTTTTTTTATTTGATTTTATTTAAAACGAGGATATTTGTACGTGACTTTGTTCAAACAAAGACAACTCAGAGCTGTACCTCCTCTGTTTCACCAGCAGGTGTCAGTGTGGGACAGCAACACACAGAGCTGCTGTTTATTTCCACAGTAAATTCAGGTGAAATGATGATTTTAATGACATTATTAGTGTTAATTATCATCAGTATCATTATTATTACTTTATATCATCAGTATTAAAGAGTTTTCCCCTTAATAAAGAAGTTTAATTTGGTCTCTGCTGATTCTTCTCACAGATTTGACTCTGAATGTTGAAAACCAGGAAAATTCAGCAATTTGGTTTAAATGTGTTCATCAATGTAGGTGTCAGTTATCTGTCTGTGTGTGTCTGTGTGTGTGAATCTGTGGGTGTGTCTGTGTGTGTGAGTCTGTCTGTGTGTGTCTGTGTGTGTGAGTCTGTCTGTGTGTCTGTGTGTGTCTGTGTGTGTGAGTCTGTCTGTGTGTGTCTCTGTGTGTCTGTGTGTGTGTCTGTGTGTGTGTGTGTGTGTGTGTGTGTGTGTGTGCGTGTGTCTGTGTGTGTGAATCTGTCTGTGTGTCTGTGTGTGTCTGTCATGTTTTGGTCAGTAGATGGTAAATGTTGGACGGTTCGTTAGTCTTATTTCAAAAGAATCGATCTCTCTCTCTTCTGTTTCTCTCTCTCCTGTTTCTCTCTCTCTCTCTTTTCTGTTTCTCTCTCTTCTGTTTCTCTCTCTCTCTCCTGTTTCTCTCTCTTCTGTTTCTCTCTCTCTCTTTTCTGTTTCTCTCTCTTCTGTTTCTCTCTCTCTCTCTGTTTCTCTCTCTTCTGTTTCTCTCTCTCTCTTCTGTTTCTCTCTCTTCTGTTTCTCTCTCTCTTTTCTGTTTCTCTCTCTCTTTTGTCTCTCTCTCTCTCTCTTCTGTTTCTCTCTCTCTTTTGTTTCTCTCTCTCTCTCTCTTCTGTTTCTCTCTCTCTTTTCTGTTTCTCTCTCTCTTTTCTGTTTCTCTCTCTTCTGTTTCTCTCTCTCTTTTGTTTCTCTCTCTCTCTCTCTTCTGTTTCTCTCTCTCTTTTCTGTCTCTCTCTCTCTCTTTCTGTTTCTCTCTCTCTCTCTTCTGTTTCTCTCTCTCTTTTGTTTCTCTCTCTCTCTCTCTTCTGTTTCTCCCTCTCTTTTCTGTTTCTCTCTCTCTTTTCTGTCTCTCTCTCTCTCTTCTGTTTCTCTCTTTTCTGTTTCTCTCTCTCTCTTTTCTGTTTTTCTCTCTCTCTCTTTTCTCTCTCTCTTTTCTGTTTCTCTCTCTCTTCTGTTTCTCTCTCTCCTGTTAGTTTTTTTCTCTCTCAGTTAAAGTTCGTGTTAAAGTTCGTGTTTCACAGTCAAACCGACACAAACACCGGAAACAGAAACAGAAACTCTGACAAAATAAGAGACGACCACCGGAACCAAACTGAGAGTTTGTTTGAGGACATCCTGACCAGCAGGGGGCGCTGCTTCACACTGAGCTTCTACAGACAGAACAACATGGAGCTGATGTTCACTTTAAGGAGCTTCATAAGAGAAGATCTGAGGAGGAGGATCTACCTTCATCTAGATCTATAACCACAGAACCCAAATCAATACAATAAACATTATCATCATGAACTAATAATTATAACAACAACAACAACAATAATAATAACAATATCAATAATAATAATAATATCAATAATTGATCATTCATACTGACAGATTTCAGAGTTAAACCAACAATAAGGAAAAAACAAAGCAGCAAAGGATGATGGGAAAATGTAGTTAAAAACATGTTAGAATGGAGAAAAAAATTAATTAATAATTAATTAATTATTAATTATTCATTTATAAATAAAGGCTGCACATCTCAGCTCTGACCAGCAGAGGGCGCTCAGATCCCAGTTTTGTTCAGTTTTTAGAGAAAAAAAAAAGTTTACGCTTTACAATCATTTATTTATTAATGTTTTTATTTTATTTATTTATTAATGTTTTTATTTTATTTATTAATGTTTTTATTTTATTTATTTATTAATTTTTTTTTATTTATTTATGTTTTTATCTTATTTATTTATTAATGTTTTTTATTTATTTATATATTTGTTTATATTTTATTTTGTCTGTTTTTGCTGAAATATTCTGTCTGTTCAGTTTCATTTAAATTTTAAATTAATTAAAAAAAAAACAAAATCATATTTTAAATCTGGTTTGATCACGTGACTCTGTTTTTATTATCAGCTGATCTGAATATTTTTAAATCACGTTTTCCAAAAACCATGTGACCAGCGAAGGTACTATGACGTCACGGATATATCAGACGTTTAAAAACGAAAAAAAAAAGAAAAAAATGTTTATTTACATAACCCCCCCCCCCACACACACACACACACACACGCACACACACACACACACACACACACACACTCCGTAGTCTGGGGTTGTTGCTCCTCAGACGGTCACAGCAGCAGCAGCTCCGCCCGCCTCTCTCTCTCTCACTCTTTCTCTGTCTCTCTCTCCCTGGTTCTCTCTCTCCCCCTCTGTCTCCCCTCTCTCTCTCTCTCTCCTCCCCCCGTCCTCCCTCGTCCGTCCGTCCGTCCGTCCGTCCTCCTCCTCCTCCTCCTCCTCGGTGCGGACATGCTCCCGGGGTTCCGGAGATGAGGTTCCGAAATGTCTCCTTCCTGACGGTCTTGTTGTTCGGACTCTGCGGTCTGGTCTCGCTGTCCTGGTACACCACCTTCAGCAGCTCCAGAGGTAAGACCCGGACCCGGACCGAGCCCCGGACCGAGCTCCGGTCCCGGTCCAGGTGGGTGTCAGTCCCGCTGTACCCCTGTGTGTGTTTGTTTTTGTGACGGCTCTGCACGCCGGGCTGCGGATGGTGGGTGGGCTCGGTGGTCTGCTCTCATCTTTGCTTTGTGTGCGTGTGTGTCGCAGAGGTGGACACACACACACACACACACACACACACACACACACACACACACACACACACACACACACACACTGCAGGATCAGAGGGGCTCGGGGGAAAAGGGGGGTTGCTTGATTTGGGGCCCAGTACATACCAGCTGAAGGGGGGGGGTCTGCTTTTCTACAACAGAGGGGTGCGCTTGGTTTGTGACATGAACCGACTGAGAGGGGAGGGGTAACATGGCGTTGGGAAGGGGCGGGGGGGTGGTCTAGGATTTTGTTGGAGCTGTCTGTGTGTGCGTGTGTATGTGTGTGCGTGCGTGTGTATGTG